CACACACACACACACACACACACACACACACACACACATAAAAGAGAATGTGTGTTCAAGTAATGCGCAAACACTCATCTATCAAAAATGAATACCATGACATTTGTATTTGTATGTCAAGTATGTACCTGCTTTTGTGTGCTCTCTCCTCGCTGTTTTGAGTTGAGCCTCCATGGCCCTGAGCTTCTCTGCACACACACTCTCAACTTCTGACACCTTCTGTAAAACTACACAAACATCCATAATCAGCTTTTACATCTTCAAAAATATGCAACTGTACTCCACAACTAGGGATGCACCGAATATTCGGCAACCGACATTATTCGGACGAAAATAGCAAAAAAATATCTTTCGGTGTTCGGCCGAATAAGCGAAAAGGCCGAATAATATGAACCGAACAATGACGAACGCGATCAAATAGAGGCACGCGCTAATGCAGCAAACATGTCGACAGCGTTTAAGTATTTAAAGGGGTGGTTGACTGTTTTTTTTATAGGCTTGATTGTGTTTATGGGGTGCAGTCTAACATGTGTTAATGCTTCGTTTGTTAAAAAACGCATTATTTTTCACATAACTTACCTTTATTACACACCGCTCTGTCCCTTCTCCTCTCAATGCGCTGATCATTTCCTGCTTTTATGAAGCCCCTCCCTCAGAAATACACGATGGGCTCTGATTGATTAGCTGGCCCAGTGTGTTGTGATTGGCTAAACCGCCTCTAGCGCTGTGTGCAGAGCAGGGCTAGGCCAGGAACAGGATGAGAACCCTGCTTTAGAACATTTTGAAACTTGTGAATCCATTAGAATCGTTAGAAGACAGAATCGCGATTCATATATGAATAACTTTGCAGATATTGTTTATGATCACACAGCAACATTACACAGTAACTAACATTAAAAAAGTGAAATCGCAACCAACCACCCCTTTAAAACTATCAGAGAAAGACACAGAAATCATTACAAGCATGAAGCACCGACAGCGAGAGACTTAGTGCTGCATCAAGTCTCCGATGAGAAGAGGTGGCTAATGCTGGTGGTTAGGTTACTGTATGATGATTGAAATCGCGAAATTACCTCAAACGATTAGTAAATAAACTGCAGAATGTTATATTTTCTAATGCACGCACGAATTGCATGACATCGCTGCACGAGCTGCGGCGCAAGGGCTCAGAGTCCAAAGCGCGATGAAAATCTGCGCTGAAACTGTTACTCGTCCGTTGCTCAGTAACATTTTTGTGAATTTTTTTAAAGGCATGTGACAATGTGATACGTGCGACAAACATCTTCCCAAATTCATAATGAGAATCATTTATAAATCTGCATGCTGTTGTCAACAAAAAGAAGCACTGAGATCTTCCTGCGGGTTTCTGCCAAAATAAAAGCCGAGAAAAAGCAACAACTCCATCGACATTCATAAATGATAGTATTGTAATTTTACTGTCGTTATGTAAAATTAAATTAAAAAGTAAGACAATAATAATGATAATAATAATTACCCTACAACAGCTCTGTTAATACATTTATTATAACAGCTCAGCAAGGCTGCCTTTATTTGTACAGTAAAAAATACAAAAACAGTAAAAAGCACATTTTGGCAATTTAATTAATGCAATTGTGAAAAAAATGGCAAAATAGGCCTACATGGGGGAAAAATGTGAAAAACCGTGTTCGGTATTCGGCCCAGTGTTTCATTTTGTTTGGCTTTGGCCTAGAATTTTCATTTCGGTGCATCCCTATCCACAACCAAACCTGAGCAAATATTAGATGGAAACACAGAAGCACAAATGATTCTTCACCAGAGTCTGTGAGCAGAGTGGAAGCAGAGCTGCATGATTTTGCCTGGAGCAATGAGCAATTGATGTCAGCGGAATTCACCATGTGTTAAACACAGTATTAATAGACTATTAGCAATGAAAATAAGAGAATAAGATGGAATTTGTGAAGTGAATACACAATGCTTTGTGTGTGTGTGTGTGTGTGGGGTGGGGGGTTTGAGTGCCGTTACTTCACTCAAACACATTGCTCTTCACGCACCTGAGTCACACTGCTGCTGTAGTCTCTGGGCCTCAGCACGGAGCTCCACAACGGTCCCCTCATGCTCTTCACATTGTCTCTGCATCTCCATTCGACTCGATTCTGATGCCTCCAACTCCTCCCTGCTTTGTGATAGAGCTTCCCTCAGGTGTCCCAGCTCTCTCTCTCCTGCAGTTTGCATTCAACACAGTTACAGTCCTCTCTCTTTAATATCTTCAGAAGACATTCAGGTTGACGTTTGTGTACATACGCTGCTGCTGGAGTTCTGACAGGGAGGCCTGGATGAGCTCTGGTGTGCGTTTGAGTTCCTGTGCGAGTTTGTCTCTCTCTGCGCTCAACAACACCACCTCAGCCTGGAGACTCTTAATAAAGCTGCAACACAGACAGGAGATAATGGAACGGAATACTAGTATACTGCTTATTATACACAAATAACCAGGATGGGTGTGCAAATGTACTTGTAATATACTTTGTAAAGCGACCTTGAGCTATGGAAAGGCGCTATATAAATAAAACTACTACTTCTACTTCAAACAGTTGTATACTAAAGTTGTCACTCCCTGTATGTCTTGTAAATAAAAACAGCTATTTTTAATCTTTAATCCAACATTGTATCTTCTCTTAACAGAGCGATCTATTGTTTCAAATTATTATTAAAAATAATAATGTTTAATAATTTATATTTAATAATAATTATTATATTAATAATAATATTTAAAATAATAATATTGTGTGAATATTACTATGCATTGTGGGATAAAACATCTAAAACATTACAAAACTGGCTTGTTTTAGGTCATTTTAAATATATATGATTGAGCTGAACCCAAGCTATCTTTTATTCCTGAAGCTTCCAATAATCAGTGGCGAAAAAAACTCCTTAAAGAAATTTTACTTCGAATATCAATGTCTTTGATTTATTCCCATGATTCTGTACCTCTCCGACACTGCTGGCTCTGGAGATCTAGTAGCTTTCTTGGTTCTCCAAAGAGCTTCTTTCCTTAACAGCAGCCCTGCAGACAAACAGCCCATGTATATTTAAAGTGAAACACACTTACATACACTCGCACACAGATGACACTCTCACCATGTACTGTGTCCAGACGTTTGGCAGCGAAGGTGAGTCTCTGGTTCAGCTGACTTACACTGGACTGAACTGCTTCCATCTGACCTGCCTTCATCTCTATGGCTGACATCACTCTGATGAGAGCGATAACACACAGAGAGAGACAGATGTTTATGGATGAGCTGGCTTCAGTGCTTTGGTCAGAGGAACAGTCAGCTTTAATCTAATCGTGACAGTCACGTTGGTATTTTTTAAACTTGTTTAATCCAAAGAGACTTACAGAACACTAACAGATTCAAGGGGTGTGACTGTGCGTGCTACCTGTGTGCTGTTTCACTGATATCATTCAGTGATCCCTCGGTACACTTATTGCACTCTTTCAGCTGAGCATTCTCCTGTAGAGCACTGTCCAACTGCTGCTGTACTCCCTGAACACACACACACAAAGCAAGCACATGGGCTGTCAGAAACGCACACTTGCCTGCAGGCAATACAGAAGAAGAGTTTCAGTGCCATCACTGATCAGCTGGACAGCTGCTCTGAATGTGGTGAGTAATCACGGATGAACAATGTGATGTTAAAGCAGCAGATCTTCTGAGTCAACGCTGAACAAGCTTAAACCTCACTAAGCTCAATGCAACCTGTTCAAACTGTTAAAAAGCAAAGATCACAAGAAAAGAATGAGGGACGAGCTTATGGGGGCTGGAGACAGAGTGCAAAAGCTGATCATGTGAATATCAATGAGCTACATTTTTAGCGAGTAACCACATAGAATTTCAGTCCGGTTTCTCATGCACGTCTGTCATATCACCTGGAAGACCTATTATGTAATAAACCCTTCATCACAGCATGCCTGGTTAGGAAATGTATAGCGCTGTGAAAAAGTACATTGAGTTCAGAAACCCAATATGAATATCAGAAGAACATCTGGCATCTGTGCAGGCTTTATCCATTACCAATGAGAGGAATTTCATTCTAATGGAAGGACCACAAGACCTAAATCTAACTGACCCCACAACCAGACTTAACTTTAATGTATGTGCATACTTGTATGTCAAAGTACCTCTGCGTGTACATGCTGTAACTCCAACTGGGCCGTTTTGTCCTCTAGTTGGTGCTGAAGGACACTGTTCTGCGACTGCAAACACTCTACTTGCTGCTGCAGAGAGGAAACCTACACACGCATACAAAAAAAAGTACTAAACTCAGATTTGAAAACACTAAACCGTAAGTAAACACTCCCAATAGCTCAATGCTGAACAACAAAACAATGTGATGATAGAACATAGATGTGTAATCTAATGTGGAAACCAGACATTTTTTATGTTGACAGCCAAGATTGTACAGACTGAAAATGTATTTTAATTAATTAACCGACATTAATTATCCATTCAAAAGTTGAGATTTTGTATACTTTTGAAATACGTTAAAAATACAAAGGAACATAATATTGTGAAATATTATTACAATTTTTAAAAATTGTTTTCTATTTTAATATATTTTAAAATGTCATTTATTCCTGTGATGGCAAAGCTGAATTTTATCAGCCATTAGTCTAGCTCTCAGTATCACATGATCCTTCAGAAATAATTCTAATATGTTGATGTTGTGCTCAAGGAACATGTATTATTTTCGATGTTGACAACAGTTGTGCAGCTTAATATTTTTGTGAAAACTGATACTTTTTCCCCCCCCCAGGATTTCAAAAGAACAACTTCTTTTTTATAAATATTTATAATAATGAAAAATTCCTTTTGATCAAACTAATGCGTTTTTGATTAATAAAAGTAAAAACTGGAAAAACAACAAGTCAAGTCACCTTTATTTATATAGCGCTTTTAACAATGCTGATTGTGTCAAAGCAACTGAACAGCATTAATTAGGAAAATAGTGTGTCAATAATGCAAAATGACAATAGTAAACACTAATTTTTCAGTTAAAGACAGTTCATCATTGAATTCAGTGATGTCAACATCCAGCTCAGTTTAAATAGTATCTTTGCAATCAAGTCAACGGTATCGCTGGAAATGAAGTGTCCCCAACTAAGCAAGCCAGAGGCGACAGCGGCAAGGAACCAAAACTCCATCGGTGACAGAATGGAGAAAAAACCTTGGGAGAAACCAGGCTCAGTCGGGGGGCCAGTTCTCCTCTGACCAGACGAACCAGCAGTACGGATCTGTCTTTGGTGGCTGGAACAATAGTTCTGCCCAGACAACCTTCCTCACTCCAAATGTTTGAACAGGTGTATATTATGGACACTATATTTAGCAAAAAATATTCTCTTATATAGGTAAAAATGAATAAATGAATAAAATAAATTTCAGGGGTCAAATAAAAATAAACATGCAAAGTGGTTAGAAATGTTCATCTATCATAGTACACTATGCATGTGCATGAGAATGCATTTGCATTACCATGTTATGCAGTTGTGTTTTCTCTGTGTGAAGTTGTAAATCTCTGGTCTGCAATTTAACAAGCAGCATGAAGACCTTTTGTCTCCAAACACTCAACATCTGCCCAGCTTTACTGCCAGAGTACAATGGGTCAGTCTGCACCTACACACATAATAAAATACCACTAAATTTATTAATGAATTAATATCTGTCAAAATGCATTGGTCATTCATTTCAAATACTACATATGCATGTCTGCATATGTAATCTTACCTGTTCACCTAGCTCTTTCTCCTGAATAGCCAAAATGTCAGTGGCTGCGTTAACTCGAACATTCAGCAGCTGGACTGATAAAGACAGGGCTTCCTTTTCCTTCTTTAAATGCTATACACACATAGTCATAAAATAATTACATTCATGCATTCAACATTATTTAAAGGACAACAACTGATGCACTAGTTGCAATTCAGCAGACTGTTTACACACCTGTATTTGTCGTCTAAGCTCTTCCTCTTCCTTTTTTTCTGTGATGTGGCTGCCAATGTATGTCCGCAGTTTCTGCACACACTCAGACAGTTCCAGCAATGAGCTGTTCAGGACACTGCACAAATACAAATCATGTGATATCACATAAACAGACCTGTAGATTATTTGTCATTTAGAGAGAGCAGCATCAGCAACATTTGTTTTCTTATACTCACCTCAGTTGATTTCTCAGCTCATCTCTCTCTGATATCACTTCCTGTATTTGGGTCCTCAGTAAGGTCACTTCCTGTGCAGCATCGGTCATGACATTCTGATATTCAAAGTGGTTGAAAATAAGATAAAAAAAATATATATATCACATACACCATTACAATGAATCGGCAAGTCATACAAAAAAAGAAAAATGTAGGACAGGAAGATTAAATATCAGTTTTATCTCTCTTAGACAAATTAAAAAGTCAAAAAATGCATGAATCATTCACAATAAGGCCAATAACATGCATTTAGAAAAGACAGATAAATTAATAGGGTGGACTGTAATTTCATGCCGACATTTAAAGGTGCGCTAGGGAAAATTTCTGGGTTAAAAATGAACAACAAAATCAATTACTGAGCAAGTATATACAAAAAAAATCAATGTTCAAAACTGTCTCCTTGCCTTATGATATCATACATTATTTGCATAATAACAATGTCTGGGTGGATTTCACGGGACAAGTCCGTTTTACGCCACTCATCTGTTCATTAGTAATGAGCTTTTTATTTATCTGAGCTACAGTATCATCCATTGTTGAAACTAAGAAACCTAATTAAGACAAATGGGAACAAAATATAGCCACTCTATTGTTAATTATGTCTTACCCGTGTCTCTAGTTTTTGTTGCAGTCTCCCCATCTCCTGCTTTGAATCCTGTAACTCTTTCTCCAAATGTTGATATTTTAATTCATACTCTCTTTTCAGGGTTGAAAGCTAGACACACAAATTCAGGCTGTATTTAGAAACTAGAATTTCTGTCCCTAAAATACACATTTTTCACCTGTTCTGAACGATTAGGGAATAAAGTGAAAGTGTATTTACCTGGTCTTGGCTCATATTTAGTTCAGCCTTGCAGCTTTTCAGTTGACTGTGTAATTCATCACGCTCTATACACTGTCTGTAGACACACACACACATTTCAGCCCACATACGCAACTGAAGTAACAAATCAGTCAGTTTGAGTGTCTGTACCTGTTTATTTGGTTTTGCTGATCTCTGACCTGCTCTCTCAAACACTCTACTCTTCCTTTCAGACGCTCCATCTCTCCTCTCATCCCTTCCTTGTCTTCTCTTAACCTTTCCATCTCTTGCAGCAGGGGCTTTGAGCTGCTCCTCTCATCTTCTGGCAACCTGACAGAGAGAGATGAATTTACAGACAGACCAGTAAAGTCACTGGATGGGCTGATGTGTTTGTGTACCTGTGGTCAGGGAGCTGTTGTATTATTTTCTCACTCCGGTGTTTCTGATAGACGGGCTGCCATGCTTCCACTGTAGCAGGCTCTGTCCAGCCAAACCCCTCCTCACTGAATTTAGAAGGGGGCAGAGCTCTAAACTGTGGCAGAACTTGGGTGGGTGTGGTCTGTGAAGCTGTGGGCCAGGCTAGCGGACCCCCAGTAAACTGAGCAGGTGTCATCAGAGGAGGAGTGCGGTTACAGACAGATGCTGGGAGACAAATAGAAAGACTGATATTCATGTAATAAACACATAAAGACTGAAATAAAGGCAGGACCTTCAAATCTCTATTCTGAGAGTGTGTCCCCTGAGCATCTGGATTTTTTTTCTTTACATTGACAACATTACAGATGCCTCACATATGACACAATTTAACAGTACTGCTCATTATCTTCTTTTAAGTTTGTTATAATTTTTAACCACCTTTTAGCTGTCACTAGTTCACTTTTAGAAGTACAAACAGTCCATACAGTGTTGGGAAGGTTAAATTGGAAAATGTAATAGGTTACAGATTACAAGTTACTCTATTCAAAATGTAATATTATATAGTATATTTATTAATGTAACTGTAATGTTTTCAACTGTTAATCATTTTGAAAAGTTTTTAAAGCAGGTAGGATTAACCTTACAGTAGTACTCAACAATGATTACTGTCAGACTTTCAAAATCCTTCATCACTTGAATTAAGATTATAATAATTTAACTTGAAAGCACAGCCACCACAAAATCAGACTTTAGCACCACTTTTTACATTGAGATCGTTCTGAGGTTAAGTAATACACATTTAAAATCATAACAAGAAATAAAGCTATGACATAGCTATGATACTGTTCTTAAAATCAAATCTTTGCATAGCTATGGTAGGAAACAACAGGCATCTAACAATGCTTTGGGGGAAAAAAAAAAACAGTTAATCTTAAAAAATAAAACGTATACATAAACCCAAATAGGAAATCATTTTAAAAGTTATTGAATACGCATTTGTCCTATTCTGTGTCCTAAACTCCTGAGTGTCATTCCGTGTCAAATCAACCAAATTAAAAAAATCTCCCCAGCTCAAATTTTTGATTTTGCTGATATTTTTTTCTGAAGAAAGACAGACATGTATAGTGACGTAAGCCAAAATATTAAATGTCATGGATGAATATTGACTGAGCAAGTTAATCCACTATTTTGTAGATGGGGGTCAAAATGGCAATTTGTTTTTAAATCTGTTGGCTTTAGCAATCTTTGTTGCATTATGTGCCAATGGTGACCATTCAAAAATGGGGAAACAGCACTTTTCAAGTTTTTTCTCCAAAGTTTACATGCCTGTAACTCAAGAAGTATTAAAGATATCTTAATGCCCTTTTAGATATTGGGTCTTAACAAACTTTCCTTTTGGCATCTTCATTTTTAAGGCCCTAACGTTATATGGTTCAGTTCCAGAGATATTGGAATTTCAATATGGAGTAAATTGTTAAAATGTACACATTTTCAGTAGTAAAACAACCAAAATGTGGGTCAATTTGCAAAACATACATTTCTTTCAGCAGTTACGATAATATACAATAACTTAAATGCTGTTTAAACGGCTTTAGATTAATCTATTATATCACAATGCAGCTTATTCTGTTTGTTTACCTCCATCAGGAGCTTTCATGAAGTCCGCCGGCGCGTTCAGCCTTTCTGCTCTCCACATAACGTTATCCATAATAACCACTAAATGCCCAGTCTTACAAAATCGGCCTTACATTAATGTGTAAAATGTTTAAATAGTAATGTTTTGATGATTATTTCACGTCAGTTTTAGAAAGTTCAGTTGTCATGGCAGAGATTTCCGGTCGGAGCGAGGCACTACAGCGCCCCCTGCAGTCTATATTGAACAACTATAACATGCAGTATAATTTCCACTTCATCACCCTATTGACACATTTACACCGAAAAACTCAAAAATCATTTGAATCAATTGTCTTTAACCTTCGGTGTTGCTCGCCTGGCTCATCTTAATGTTAGAGCTTTGTGCATTTTAAATATTAGAAAAAGAAATAGAAACTAGAAAATAATCTGCTGAGGAGCTCAGTGACCACTTTTGTTTATTCCTGAAACCTAACCAGTCATGTTTTAAACTAAAGTTAAGAGACATCATTTTTACATCCAGAGCATCCAACATTATTCTTAAGTTCTATGTTAGTTATTTTTAATAGATGAATATGCTACATATCATGTCTACAAACAACTAACCCTTCCTGACGTGTATAGTAGAGGGTTTTTATGCTGCAAATATCCAGACCTTTTGCGCTGTTTAGCATTGATCTCTGTCATTTGTTCTGGGTGGATGTGTTTGTTCTGTCATTGATTCTTTGTGTGAATGAAGGCTTTGATCAGTCCACTGTAGAACGCTGACCTTCTTGTTCATGACCCAGAAAATGTCACAGTTGCATTCACGGTTCATAAAAATTATTTTGTAGGACAAATGTTTTTTTTATCAAATATAAACACAAAAATAATAATTCTGAGATCTAGTATTCTTCAATAAAGCAACTGATTAAAATGAAATTTTTTTTTTTATCAAATATAAAGACAAAAATAATAATTCTGAGATCTAGTATTCTTCAATAAAGCAACTGATTAAAATGTAAACAAAAATTGTATTTCTTGAATTTTAGTCAAATGCGCAGCTGCCAATGATAGCAGTGCTAAAGATCAGGAAGGTTTATTTCATATCCAAATATAAATGCAATAAACATAGTAAATTAAACAACTGACATCTTGTAAATAGAATAAAAACATCTTGGTTTTTATGTACAGTCTAATACATTAAAATACATACACTCACACACTTTTGGAAATAAGAAGACATTGCAGGACCGAAAATTTAAATCAAAGTGGGACAAATGTCCAGCTATGTGTAAAACACATAAAAGATGCTTCCTTTCCAATCCTGACCAAAAACTCCATGCAGAAATGTATTTACCAGGCATAAAACCACCATGGTTACATTTACTAAGATTTCTCACCACAAAGACAATCATCATAATTCACTCTGATTAACAAGCCTAACCTCCTAAACAACCCACAACCTCAATGAACTACACAAAGGGGAAAGACTATAGAATTTTTCACAGTGGAGCTTTTCCAAAATGAAAGTTAATAAAACATCAGTGATTCTCTCAGGACAGATGCAATGTGAATGAAACGGTAGGTTGGATACCAAACATAAAAACATTAAGTTAAATATAAATCAGCAATGATTCACATTACATTACACATTTTGTGTAAAACAAAATAATACATATATATAATTATATATTTTTTAAGATATATAACAATATATTATAATACCTATTTCTAATATTTAAAAAGAAATTGGATATATTCTACAGAAAGGGCTTTTCTTTGAAAATAGGGGGCAATGCACTCAGTGCAGAAATACCTTTGAAATTTGAAGTTGACCAAAAAAATAAAAAAATTAAAATAAATCCAGAAATGAATTTAACTCTTTTGAGGGAGGGGTGGGATTTCTACGTTTTAGCCAATCAGTACAAGTGCTTAGAGCTCTCCGAGGACCTATAAAAAAAAAAAATCAGCCACTCAGTTCAGTGAGGAATATCATCACAATATGAGGCTTAACCTACTTCTGAGAAGTGAAACATTGTGATTGATTAATTAAAAAAAGAGAGAGAAAGGTACCGTGAAAAAAAAAACAGACACTGCAAGTCTAAACCCTTTAAGGAAAGTTGAGTTATAAATGTTAGATTTAAATCACCCTTTATAAAGTCATTTACAATTGATTGTCTTTACAAAATTACCTAAAAATCAAAACTCCTCCAGGAGTTACAAAAAAAAAAAACAAAAAAAAAAACAGCTATTTTTAAACCTCCATTACAAAAGAGCATGAATAGATAAGTCTGATTTCATGCTGAAAATGTTTGTGTGTCGCCCTGTGGGCTGTTATATGTACAGATGGAAAGTTATGGTGTGTTTTCAGGAGGGAAAGAAACGCAGCACCATCATGTGCATTTAGTTCATGGAGTGAAATCAGATGAGGAAAACATGTCACCGCTCTCATGTATCCATCTCAGAACATGGAGACATTAAGGACCTGTTAGACAACACACACACACACACACACACACACACACACACACACACACACACACACACACACACACAC